TTAAAATATTTTAATGTACCTAGGTATAAAAAACATTTAATTTGAAGATACTAAAGAATAAATAAAATATATACATTTTTGTAAGCGTTTAATACTTGTTTTAACTAGAACCCTAACTTAAACTATTAAATTCATTTTTCAAAACCAGAACCGAAACCAGTACCCTTAAATAAACATTTTCATAAACCGGAACCGGAACCAGAACCTCTTAATAAAATAATTAAGCAGCGGAACCGGAACCGTAAAAACTAAAAGGTACCAGTCCTGTAATAAAGAAACGTCTTTTTTCGTTTTAACGAAATTCACTGTCATCGATCCATAATTGGTTAAAACCGCCGAGTACAATGACATACGATTCATTCTGTATAATATATTTAGGTACCTATTTAACCAGTTGGGAGAGAAGATAGAGTGAACAACTGAAACAATTGTATGGACAAAGAAGTAGGAATAACTCTAATGTGGCTTACTAATCATTTTTTTTTTTTTTTTTTTTGTTAATGCAAACAATTAATAATTTTTATTTATTGGTACAATATTAAATGTATATTAAGATGAATTTATAAAAGACTAGCTGATCCCGTGCACTTCGTCGCCCGTTAAATGGATCAACTCAATACTACCTACTCAAACTTTGTTCAATTCATTAACGTGTATGGTGTTCAAAATTTATCTTATCTTTCCCGTTGCCCTGAATAAAAATTCTGAATCGCAGCAGTACATTATCAGGTAGGCAATCTACCTGCGGTAGATCGCGGACCCCGTGCTGTTTGTACTGAAGTGTATGATTTAACTCTAAAGTATCAAAGTTATACCAAGTTTATTTTGATGTAATACTGTGGATTAATATAATAAATTTGGTTGCTTGTAAAAAATCGCAACTCTTAAAAAAATTATGATTGTTGAACTCCTTTTGGGTGTAATTTTCTGCGGTAAGTGCAACTCTGCCACCCTGGTAAGCATTGTTCAATAATTCGATTTGATGCAAGCTTGTACCTGATCTGCCCGAATAACCAATGGCAACCAATAAATAAATGCTAATTTCTAATGTAGACTGTAACCAATGGCAACTATAAATAAATAAAAATAAAATTTCCAATTTCTATCGTGAATCTCAATGTCCCTGTTTCAGCACCTATTTAAAATGCGAATTTTGGCAAATCCTTTCTTAGCGCACGTCTATATTATAATAGCTATCCGTATGCCAAATTTCAGCCAGATCCGTCCAATGGTTTGAGCTGTGCGTTGATAGCAGTCAATCAGCTTACTGTTTTTTATATACAGATATGGTTGCCATGGTAATATGGACACACACACACACACACACTGACATACATTCATTTTTATATATATAGATTGATATGAAATCTTGGTAACCTTAGTAACCATGGCAACCTTGGTAACCATGGTAACTTGGACACACAGACACACAGACACACTGACACACTGACATACATTCATTTTTATATATATAGATAAAAGTATTAGTATTAGGTACTAGTATTTACTTTTAATATTTTTCTATTTTGGGGGCCCACTGATTTATTATGTCCAAAATGTGGCTAGATATGCAAGAGTTAGGTTGTTGACTCCACTGGGTATGCTTCTAATGTAATATCATAAACATGATAAGCGACAGTAAAAACGCATATCAAAAATCTCATGATAATGTCTTTATTTTTGCACAAATATAATTATGTCAAGGAAATGTTTACATGTCGAAACAATAAAATCTTATGTACTAAAAAATTCTAGTAAACTCGTATTTCGTTTACAATATTATATTATGGTATAATGTACATACATATGATTAACTAATAAATCAAGTTGGGTACATATTATAATATATTGTAAATAATTGAAAATATAATTTACATGTAATTATATTATATATTATGTATGAATTAAATAAATTTTTAAACCATTATTACGTAATATTCTATTTACAATGAATGATATACAATTAAACTGTAAATCACAAACATAAAAATTAAGTATCTAGTTAACTAAAAAAAATAATAATAATATAAATATTATTCACACACCCTCTTGCCACATTTAGGAGTGCAATTTTAATCATCACTATGAAACTCAAATAAATGATCAAAGTTTCATGTATATAATTTATAAGTATTTCAATAAATTATGTACAAATAATTGTGTAATGCAGGGGGGTTTAATTTTAGAGGAAATCATAAATTATAATAGTTAAATGCTTTATACGTTAAAAATAGACATTTATTTACAATAAATAAAAATGATAATAAAAGTGTATAGTTTTAGATATAATTATTTTATTTTTAACTTAAGTTGTATAGTTGTATAACTGTATAAGTGAATACTATAATAAACCAATGTTTAAATTTTATAAATTGTTTAAGGGGTTTTTTTTTTTTTTAATTAAAATAAATGTAATACGTTTAAATTTTCACACAAAATTGTACAATAAGAGACTATAATAATAATGTTTATACGACTGAAAATATTGGCCCGCATGCTAAGTGGAAATTTCTAAGACAATGATTGATAAATAAAGTTCAATTTTCCTAGTGCCGTAGTTATTTTCATTGCTAGTGATTGTGGGAATTTTTAAAAATAATTCTATATCTTAAGTACTAATATTATCATATTGTATATTATACGTATATAATTTATATTTATATATCTATATATATATTATACATATAGGTACGATGAACATAATATATAGATATATACACACATTTACATTCAATAATACATTCATATTTTTTTTTTATATAGTACAATAAATCACGGTTATTTTATACAAGTCGTAAAAATTACAATTTTATTTTCGGACTAGTAAATTTAGGAACATTCATCAATGTATTAATAATATGTAATAAATGTGTGTATAAATATAGAGCATAGAAACTAACACTCGTAATATGTACACAAACGATGGGAAATAATAGCTAAGTGTTATCAGTACGGCCGTACAGATTTGAACGTATAGGTAGGTAAGTCATGCAATTTTGGTATTTTCGATCAAACCCATTTACCAATATTATCATACCTAAATAATAAAATGTGATAAAATATGATTTACTACTTTTTTAAATTTTTTTTTTATTTTATTTTAAATTTAAATTTGTACACATGGATTAAAATAAAAATTGTCTTTATTTATTCAAAATTAAATTTCATTAATTGTTTGATCTACAATTCACTGATTAAAAAAAAAAAAATGTATAATTATTTTATTTCATATCGAGTATGCGATTAGTATAAATGAACATGCCAGTTTGTTTTATTTTAAACATGAGAGGTTACAGTGAATTAAATAATAATTTACAGGCTGTACAGTGTACATAACTTAAATCACATATTAAAAAGCATTATATTGTAACAACATTATAATTTGATACCAGTCAAAAAAAACGAACCAACTGGCAATCATTATCAAAATCAAAATAGTAATACTTAAAATCTAGCAAAAACTGCACCATGATTTGGTATTTGATATACCCAGAGATATGCATGATACATTTTCCATACAATAATGCTTTTTAAACATAAATAAATATTAATAGTAAAACACACGACACTAATAATAGTATTAATATTAATAAATTAATTAAAATTAACATAGCATTATTGTTTGTCACTAAAAATTATCTAATCTACTCTTTATTTAATTTATAGGTAAATCACTTATATTCAGTAATGGTTCAAAAAAAAAAAAAACATCATACACTTCAATGAAAAAAAAAAAACATCATACACTTAAATGAAAAATACATTATTACATTATTATGTGTAACAAAGGGTATTCTAATAAACTGTTATTTCAATAAACATGAAGTTTAGACAAACTACAAAAAAAAAAATCAGGACAAACGATTCGCCCAAAAGGAAAGCATAGAAATGATAACTGTGATCACTAACCGTCCTAAACAATACATAGGATATATTAATAATAAACAATGATCCTAACTGATATTAATAATAAACGATGATACTAACATAAAACAATAAAAGACATTTCAATGATTTGATCGTCATAATAAAACATTAATGGATAGTGGTAGATAAATACATAGGTACATATTATAATATAAATAGACGAAACTTTGTGTTTTTGTTTCTAATAATAATGATTCATTTGTTATTGTTAAAATAGTTAAAAAAATTAATTTTAAGAATTAATTTTCAAAATTAATTATTGACCAATGTCTCATTTCAGTGGAGTGTATATTATTATTATAAGAATGGCCTAGTCACGGATACACTACATGAAGTATTGAACGGCATATTATGATGATGAAAAATTTAATTTTTGCTTAATTGGAATAAATATTCTTACATTATAAACTAAACGTGAACGTCAGACAAACATTTTAACAATATTACATTATTTTGTCGCGGTTGGAACAAAAATGTATCGATCAAAAGCTTGACACAGCTGGTCAAGTATTAATAGTTGCTCTGACAGAAATAAAACAAAAATATATTTTTTTAATACTATCAGAAAGTTTTTTGTTTTTGTTTCGCAAGAATAAAATAGTGTTAAAAATGTTTTTTTAAATCAATTCTAAAATAATATACAATTTAAAATGTTAAAAAGAAAATATTTTGTAAACACTAGCTCAAATGCATTTTAAGCATGTAAAAAACCCTTTCTGACAAAATAATTTTCAATATTTTTGTTTCATTTCTGTCTTGAGTTGCGCTTTACAAAGACAAACGAATCAACAGTCAGCAGCAGCTCTGTGATTAATTTCGAACGTGTCGCTCAAGTAAGTCTCGTAACATTATCATGACGTGTTTAACGTCAAGTCATTGAAAAATAAAAATAATAATTAAAGTATAATACACTACCTAGTAAAAATAATAGGTAATAACATAAAAGACAATAATAATAATAGTAAAAATAATAATGATAGTCACAATGATGAAATTAATAATAGTAGGCAATAGTAATGTACAATGCGATTTGAGTTTTATCATCGGTTAAAACGCAAATACTCGAGTAAATGTTATGTCGCTAGACCTTCGGTGCGGTTCTGGGAGATGTGATTTGTGTGCGCTATCGGCGACGACTGCGGAGATTGGGGTGCGCAGTTGTTGAGCTGATGGTCGTCGGACGACTTGATGTTGACGGCTGCCTGCCGGTCGTAGTGCAGGTCCCAAAGTGGCGGTGTCCTTATGTGGTGGGACGGTGGCGACGACGACGACGACATGACGTTGTTCTGCTTGTCGGCCGCGATGCTCGGCTCTTGTTTCATCATGTCGCCCGGGAACGTAGCGCCGGCGCCAAAGTTGCCGAACCCGCTCAGAATGCGATTGTTGACGTTGCTGTTGACGTTCTGGATCACCGATATCTCGTTGATCTGAAGGGCAAAAACATAATCATAATTTAATTATGACTGATTGTACAGTAATATCGTTATTATTATCGCTATCATATTATTATCGTCTAAATAAATATTTATTTATTATTATTTATTAATACATCCGCGGATCGGAACGAAATAAAAACGACAACTAAATAATTGATGCATTTCTTCAATTTGTAAAATGTGAACAGAATAAAACAGAAATACCAGAAAACAATTTATGATTGTTAGACAAAACGCATAGGCAATAAACAGGAATTAAAAAATAATTATCTGACAGTAAACGGTAAAGTCATCACACGTGATTTATAATAAAAAATATATATCATGACCAAATATTTAGCAAGTGGTGATTATTTCAGAGACAAAATTATTAGGTATCCTCTGAATAATTTTAAAATATGTATGCATTATAAATTGAAACAAGATTAACAATTAAAAAAAAATTTCATAAATGGAAAAGTGTAATCACCTTTTGTTGATGCATTCCGTTTAAATACGGAGTAGACAGAAACGGATGGTAATAGATTTCTTGTCTACGTTGGAGGAAATCCGTTTCTTTGACACTGTTGGCAATCTGCAGTGGTGGAAGTTCTAGTGACATTCTCCGCCCTCTCCTAGAAGTTCCATTGGTCCACATGTGCGTTCCCATGTGCACCTGAACACCATCAAACAAACAGAGACATTAATAACGCATACAAATATAAATATTGTTTTAATATTTTAAATATTTCTCGTCTGAGACGCTAAGGTGGACAGCCACCCGATTAGCTTACTTTGAGATTGCCTTTGGTCGTGAACGCTTTTAGGCACACTGTGCATCGAAAAGGCTTGTCGCCTGTGTGGGTCCTCATGTGGATTTGTAGTGCAGAGGACGAGGAGAAGTTCTTGTTGCACACGTTACACAAGTGCTTGGGCGAACCTTCAGACGCACAAGCAAACAAAATAATTGTAATCAATTTCGTTGTATATACAGTTATGTAGGTTCCGGTATCGGTTATCACTAGATTTAAATGGAGCAAAAAATGTATCTGTACAAATGAAGTAAAAACGACGACTTTATCGGGCTGGACTTATGACCTATATTTTAATTGATCAACATGCGCAAATCGTTTATACATTGCTAATTGCTGTAAATAATATTATAGTTTGTCTTTTGATCGTTTGTCTATGTTGTTTGGTTTATATTATAATAGTTGGCTTTAATGTGTATTTTGATGTGAAATTGTCAATTTTTCGTCCGAAGCAATTTCTTGGGTGGTGATTACTGGTCAGTTACTGGATTTGTGAATCCCTACAGGTATTAGGAATAGAAGTATAACTTTTCAACTTATGGTGATGATAACATTATTATTTATTTATTACTATTTACTACTAGCTTACTTGGTTGTCTCTTAGCCGATGGCAAGCCGGAGTCGGGATCGGCCAATGAGCGTTTTGGCGATGACGACGAAGAAGACGACAGACCTCCCTCGGTCGTGGCCGGCGGTTTTCTGGAACCAGAGCCTGGAGCGTTGTACTGCTGCTGCTGACCAACGGCGGGTACGGACAGTGTGACCACCGGTTGAATCAGTGGTTGCGACGGGGGCGTCTGTGCAGACACGGCCTGTTGTTGCTGTTGTTGGACCGGTGGCGGAGACAAGTTGGCCGCCAATTGAACCCCGGTATTGGTTGCCGAAGGCCCGGTGCACGTGGACGCGTTCGCCGATACCGTAGTCGCGGTACAGGTCACCACGGGCATCATACCGTTTGCAAGCTGTTGCAATACGATCTGTGGTGGTGGTGGTGGAGGCGGCGGCGGTGGTGGTGGCAGAGATCTAGGCCCGACTCCACCAGTCGCTGCTCCAGATGAACCAGATGTGACTGCGGCCACGGCGGCTGCGGCTGCTGCTGCGGCGTTTTGTGCGGCTACACTCAAAAGCATGATCTGCTGTTGGTGGTGATGTATCTGGTGTTGATGGTGCTGCTGGTGATGCAGTTGATGCTGGGCTGCTTCACGGCTCTCTGAGCTTGCGTTGCTGGCTGTGTCATCATGACCACAGCTAGTCGAGTTGTTGCCGTCGAACATGTTGTTCGACGAGCTGCCTCCGCCGGCGCCCGTCGACGACATGTCTCGAGTCTTATGCGTTAGCATGTGCTGTTTCATATTACCCTGCAACACGTGCAGAATACATACTGAAAGTCTGTTGTGTCATAACATTGATAATTATAACGATGACATCGAGGTAATGTCGTCGTGTCATCGTGGGGGTGGTGGCTGGTGGTGGGAGGACAATATAGGGGTGGTGTACCGTAACCGTCAGAACAGAACAAATCCACATGTTTCAGTGGTAACGAAAAAAAAAAAATATTATATAGGTACTTAAATAAAACATGGTACCTATCGTTCGTCTCGGACTCTCGTCCCATATACGGACCGGCTGCAACTCATTTGCGCACATTTACCTTTTTTACAACTCATTTGCGCACAAAAACATAACTCATTTGCGCACAATTTACGAACAATAGAAACCTTTTTTCCAAGAATTTTATCCACGTATAGAGTGTACATAATCTCCGTACCACCATATTTTCGATTTGGTCAATACTGATAGTGGACAATTATTATACTCAAACAACATTTTCCTTCACCCTTTCAAAGGCTTAGGACTTCATGTCTCATCATATTCTGATGTTATAGACTGGCGGGTTAAAAATGTTGTTTTAGCTATTACACATTATTCAAATTTTTGTCAAATTACAATAAATTAGGTACAATAATTTTTACAAGTCATTAAAATTTTGTCAAATTACAATAAATTAGGTTTAACGTTTAACAAAAATAGGGTAAGATATAGCAATAATATCAATAATAAAGATTAAAGCTTGTCCCACACGACTAGTGTACTTGGCGAGTATTAATGCCATTTTTGATAGATATAAGAACTGATGTGAAATCACGTTATGCTTTAAGACTATATAAGGCTATATTGAAGATACTCCAATAACGGGTGATCATTGATATCAATAATATTGAACGTGTAACGTGTTGGACAGCTTAAGACACCCTGTACACCCAAAACTGTACCTAAAAGCTGGTTTCCATTGTTTACTATTTTGTGCGCAAATGAGTTGTCGTAAATTTAAAAAATATATTAATATGTGCGCAAATGAGTCTCCACCATACGGACCTGGGTCATAAATCCTTTCACCCATGCTTTATGATATAGTACACTTAGGGACTAGAGGCTTTATTAAGCGGTGTGGTTTACTGGACGCATACTGGATTTGCGAAAATCAATTTTCACACCTTTGAGTATAATTAACGTATAAAACCCCATGACGAAGGGAAGGTATATTCATAACAAACACTTGCACGCGATCCGACAGAATATTTGTCATAATAATAATAGAGTCGTCTCGTAAACACATCTCCCCCTTTGGCCATACAACTCGTGTTCACGAGTTTAGAGCCGCAAGTGTTTACCTAATAAATACCGGCGGTACACGTCTGGGGAAGAGCGTTTTGAATAGTAATAATAAAAATTGTTATCGATAGATGATGTCATGTTGCGTATGAAAAACCTGTCGGAAGACGACGACTTCGTTAGTTGTGATAATTGTTTTACCTTACATTTCGTGGGGTATGCAATCTAAAGTACACGCTTTGAGACGTGTTGATTGTGTGGTATGTTCGTGCGGCGAGTTGATATTATTATTAATTTATATTGATGCACTTACAAATAATATATATAAAACCGAATATTTCGTATGCAGCGGTCGCTGGTACGACGATATATTTTATTATTTCTCACATTTTCTGTTTCGTGGGAGTAAATTTCAAAAGAATAAAATAATATGTACGATAATTGCGGCACAGAGGAATGTTTGCTGAAAACTTTAAGACTCCTCGACAGCTTCATAATATCAACGTATAGTTTCACCGCTCTTGTCTACGTTATTACGCACATACATTTCGAACGCAATTTAGGTTGAGTACGCGTCTCTATTCGTATGTACGCACTTCGAGGGGCCGCAGACGTCATGCGGTTTTGGGTTTCGAGTAGATATTATATAATACGATTATTAGCCCAACTCATCCGTACAGCTATAATTCTCTCGTGATGTATAATATTAGCAGAGAATGGGCGTGAGATAATATACTGTAGTATGTAGACAATGCATGAACAAACATTATGAGGACGCCCCACAGAAATATTTTTGTATATAAACAGTTATATCGGTTATATAACTGCTTGTAGAACAATTTATGCATAGTATATTGTAGAGGTAAACACTTAATTTATAAATATGCAAGATAACAAGAATTTGTAATTCGACTCGTACTTTTTTAGTTGAAATTATTTTTTAACATTAAATTAAAGTCGTTCTGAAAAAAAGGGAATGTACATATTTAGAAAACTAGACGCACGTTAATATGAGATGATGCCTTCAAAATGTAGTCTTCATTACATTTGCCTATACTTAACCCCTTAAATGCCATTCTCTAGACATTTTCTTATAATATTATCGTTAGAAACGGTGCGATGAAATTTTTACCCTCGACTTTTCTGAGGTCAGTCGTTTTTGTTTATACCGTTGGATAAAAATCACATTGCCCAATTATTACTGTTGTGATAGAATACTTAACCTACAGGCTACAACTTCTGACCACATACATTTCGATTCCACCCCCGACTTACCCATCGACGTATTTTTGCACAATGTCATCGTGTACAAATTACCTTCAAGTCTTCGACGGATAATAATCATAGAGTGACACGTTAATCAAAATAATTAAAATTGCATATAATAACTAATGTATTAAGAAGCATAATTATGGATGTTTATTTATTTTTATATGTATCTACATAATGTATCGAGAGTGTCTATTTTTTACTATAGCCCACGAATCGCATGATATTTTTTAAAAACTCAGATTTTAGTATCAAAAATATAGTCTTACTTCCCATATTACTGTGATATAGTAAAATGTAGTGTTTTGGCCAAGCAATAAATAAAATTAAAATAGTCTTGATAAACATATTTGGTTAATTTTCATTAAACACAAGGAAGATTGGTGATTCGGGGAGAGAAAGTCGATATCCGAATTAATTCTGCATCCAATACTGCAGTTCGCGGTCATAGATCGAAGTAATATAATTGTCGTCGCGGGATATGAATATGGGAAACGTATAATATCATAAAATAACATACACACGTGAAAATATGTATATAAAAAATACGGTTAAAGGTAAACAGCGTGAATCCGGCCAAAAAATCCAATCACGCATACAAACCGTGACACATTTTATTGTTTTCAATTTAAAAAAAAAATTCCATTTCCGTGTATGATGATGATGATGATGATGATGTATAATAAGTTGACTAAAAACCGTCACTTCGCCGTCGGCAATATCAAGTGGAAATAATTTCGAATACAAACATAATAATAATATATAGGTACACATGCACACACACACACATATACGTTCACAGTACAGTGAAATGGAAGTGGTACACCTCTGCAGTTCGTAGAGTACGTTACTACTAAATGAGCATCCCAGCGAAACATATTAAAAATATATAGGTATCCGTCGAGTGAGGAAAAAAACAAAGAGAAAATTAGTAATAAAAAAAGAGCAACATTATTTTACACGAGAAACCGTACAGAATAGAAAAAAAAACAAAACAAAACAAATTGCACTACGAAACATAAATGACTGTGGAAATTAATCCACGTCACTGCCGTTGAATTTTACTGTACGTTTCTTCTGCGAATGAAAAAAACCAAAAAAACGCGATGAATCGTGAAACAGATAATAATAATATGCTATACAAGAACGTATATAATGTGTGATTTGAAAAATGACGGATGTATGTGACGGATTTGTATCGAAACGTTTTCGATTCGGTGCTTTACACAGACGATGATGATTTCAGCGACTTCAACTAGCTATTAAAAAACGTTTCCATAGTCGTACAACAACAATAATATGTAATGGATTGAACGACCGTCCTATGCAGGAGAGACGCACAGATCTTTTAGTCTAAATTATATTGACGAAATGAATAGTTTAATTACGGTCATATCATGAATAGGGCCCTGGGCTGTAGTGTTTAAGATATACAGGCAACAATATTATTTACGCCCTTAAAAAAAATATTATTATTGCCTTTTTCTTAAAAAAAATATAAAGTATAACATATTTAATGTTTACAAAAATATTAAAAAGATAACAATAGGTATTTACGGGTCGTTATGAAAAAACTGTTAATATTATTTTGTAGTTTAACGGGAGTATACGCGATAATATTAATAATAAATATTTATACAAAATTTGTATCTCACTATTTTAAATTTAAAAAGTTAGATTTTTAATAAACTATGCGAAACAGCCAAGACAATAAATAAATAATAAGGTGAAAATAGTAATAATGTGTAAACAAAAAATTGCCACCGCTTTGAAAAAATGCGACCCGTGGGACATTGCCGCTGGCCCCTTAAATACGTCACCGTATATACATATTATAATATGTTTATGCCATAATAGACCCTACCCCGTAAATAGCCTAATTATAATTACACGTTACATAATAACGCACAAGGGAGAGAAATAACATTTTATAAAATGTATTATAATTTACAGATAGGTACCTAATATAATGTTTTAATTTTTATACAGAAGTTAAATTATAAAATATTAAGACTCTACAAGATTTGATGGTACTTAATTAAACTAAGGTTACGATTTTGAGTTGAGGACTTATAATTATTTAAGATATTAATAGGTATAGCGTATACCTATAATATTATATAGGTAGGTAAGTTATAACGTACTCGTAATAAGTATAGTATACCGTATCGAACTTAAAATTATTTAAAACAGTATGGTTCTTATGAATTCATTCAATTAATTTATATGACGACATCATTTTATTTTTTATATTATATTAAACAATATTATAATCTCAGGTGAGCTCCTACTCTAAAGTCACTGAAATGAAGCGTGGTAAGATTTATGAACTAACCCTGCAATTATAGCCAGATGTAATAATATGCTTTAGTACTAATTTCACAATAATTCACGTTGCACTTGCCAAAACTAATTACCTAATTTTACGAAACTAGATTTAAAACAGTAATTTTTTTCTCAATTGTCTGGTTTCTACATAATAAAACAATTATGTAAAATAAAACAAACTAGCATAATGTTCATTTTTTAGTAACGATTGCGTAATTAGTTTGGAAATAAAATACAATTATACTATGGAATTATGTAATGTGGGATTAAAAGAAAAGATATTAAAAATAGCATTGAAACAATGAAATATGATGATTCGCATTTCGTTTAAATTTATGTGCGATGTCGTCAAATAAAAGGAATCGTTTGTACCGATTAGATAACAGGTAGCGGTGGACTATTGTTTTTGTTGTTTTTTTTTTATATACATTTGATATTTGAATATTTAAAGAGACCATTATTCATTTTCAAATACGAGTAGCAAGTCTTTTTTCCGGTTCGTCGATGTATTTATTTTTAAACAAGTAATAATAAGGTTTTGTATTGTACGGTTAAATTATTTGTGCGCGTTAGAGAACAATTCGAAAAATACAATATAAATAGAAATGCATTATAAAAAAAAAAAAAATCGCGATGAAAACCGCCAAGAGAAATTTAAATAATGTTGAAATGTCCATAAAGGATCACATCTGGCGACTATTCTGCAAATATGCAGTTGCACGTATAGGAAAATAATGTGTAGCAAATATTAATATGTTTTTTTTTTTAATTGTAAATGAGTTCATGTGACATATTATAATATTATATTGCATTGATGATATGGCTATTATGTCTGATTCGAGTTTAATGGATTATTGTGTTATTCAGACTGTTTTGCAAAAATTTTATTAAATCAGCAACATATTATAATATTATTATATTGTACCCGTGTGCAACTGAATGCTAAATATTATAATATATTTTGTTATATAACAACAGGCCGGAATTGTCAACAGTGGGACAAAAAAGAAAATCGTTTCAAAATATTATAGTCTACTCGTTTTCGGATGGACGTAAATGCCAAAATAAAATCGCATTATAATATGTATAAAATATTAACGTCCCAGTTAAATAAATTAACCATCGCACACAATACTGTTGACGTTGGAACTCGGGTATTTATATTCCATTATATTATATAGTTATGGGTAGGTAGGTAAAAGTAAAAGTGTATAGAATTTTTTATTTTTATTTTTTGTTTGTTTTTATTATATTTGTATTTAGATCAATATCGTTATTTTGCCCGTAAAAGCAACAGGTTTTTTCCCACTATTTGTTAAGACGGATCGCGGAATTAATCCATTATTCAACCTCCAGCCAAACGACAGCGGGGAAAATGAGAAAATAGCGCGAGAGCTGCTCTCTCGAATCCACAACAATGTTACCTGTCACAACAGCGAACCGTATAGGTATAGATACCTAACTACCAACACTTGGGTGTATCGAGATGCCGACCAACAAGCGTAATATTATTATTATTATTATTATTGTCCATCGTCGTGGTGCCAGAACGGTTGATCAAAATCCAATAAAATATATCGACGGAAAAGAAAAATTTGTTGGGTTATTCTAAATACAATTATTCTTATACGACGAGTCAAAGAACAATATTACGTCAACCTCAAGATATTATAGTGGGAATGGTACTGATTTTAATTTTGAAATAATAACCAAGTAGGTGATTGTATTGCATATACTTGTTTGGTACCTCATATTATAAACAATAAATTATACCGTAATTTTTGCTGTCGGTATGAAAAAAGGTAGAGAGTAGGTTTTTTTTTTTGAATGAGAAGATGCAAATAACTGTCAAATGACGAAAAATGTTCGTTTGTCGGAACGAAAAAATTAAACGGTTCCAGTCTTTGCTGGAATATAATATAGTATTAAACACGAACAGGAAAACGATCTTTTTACGAGTATTGTCTGCACGTGAACAATACTTTCCAAGCAATGAACAGTCCTAAGGCTTTGATCGATATTTCAAAGAACACAATACAATTTAGCACTGATCGAGTAATTTTTTCGATCAATTCTGCGGCGAATTGTTGATTTCGGCCGGATAGTGAAAGTGCTCTGGATGACTGGATGGGACGGGGAACTGGGGCACAAAGGGGTATGGAAATTTTTTTTAAGGGCAACATAATTGAGTATAGTTTATATTTATGTAGGATATACCTAATTAATTATTAATAATTATTACTAGGTACATATTAGTATAATCTCAAGTGTATCTTATTATTGCAGCCATTATACATTTGTGAACTAACAAAGCCTATACGACTTAAAACCATATATTATACATTTATGCTGTTTGAAATTTGGGTTATTTCGTATTTATCACATTTTACTGCCAACATTTTTTTTTTCTATAAGAACGTCTCTATAATTGAGTCCCATTTAAAGTGCGGAATTATATAGTGCCCCCCTACCACCTACTGATCTGTTCCTGAGTCGAATGGGATGGTTTTTCAATATTTAAGAGTGTATATGAGTTATGTTATCAATTAATTATATGATTTAGTGTCGATCGTACCTTTGTCGAGAATCCTCGGTCACACACGGAACATTTGAAAGGCCGCTCCTTGGTATGGCTTCTGTAGTGGATCTCGAGAGCAGAGTGGCACGCGAACGTTTTGAAACAGATGTTGCACGTGGTGTTTCCTCGAGCAGCTAAAACACACACATCGGAAATAATTATTTTGCATAATTTTTGTCGCGCACATGGATAGTAGGTAATAACAACCCCGTCACAAAAATATTAAAAATAATAATAAAATCTGCGCACCCGGTCCAACAAGCACCCCCAAAGATAGCGAAGACGTGCGCCGGATAAGCACACTGCAGCATGTCACAGACGGGAGGAGAACACAAATCAAAATATTAATAATAATAATAATAATAATTATTATTATTATTAGGTACTTTCCTGCCAGATGATATCGCGAGTTAGCATCTTTTGATGGAACATAAGACCATATATATATATTAGTATAATAATACTAACAACATTTTCTTTCACGTTACCGAGGCACGACGATATAATATTATAATGTTCTAGATTTTTTTTCCTGAAATGTGATTTTTCTAAAATATATTATACTGTTTTATGGGCAAGCAAATGTTTCAAATATTCGTTTCATCTCGTTTTCAGTATAAAAATAACCCGCGTCTCACAAGTCACGACATTCGTTTATTTATATTTTATATACCATTTTAGATCTCGTGCAGAGCGAGGGGGCGGTTTTACAATGAAGTGTACTCTATTTTTCTTTCGGTTAACACTTTTTGGGGGCAATAAAAGTTTCAAATTTTTCACGTATTCCAGTAAATCAACCAAATTGAACACAGATGGTACTTTACGGACGTCATTTTCGGAAAATCTCCCAGTAAATTACCGAACGCATTCGACTGACTGCGAATAAACGGAGGAACGCATATAGAAAAACCCGTTCTCGACAAAATCTTGTCCGTTTTGGATAAACCGATTTTCGCCTCAGCAGAATGGTTTTCGAGTACACTAATTAGTAAGATTTATCATATTGATCTACGGTTTAAAAATATATATCACCAGCTTTTAAACGCCAAGGTGAGCAGACCGAATGCATATATTATTATAATATATAAGCACCTACTAAACCTACACGGCTTCTGATAACTCATCGCAGATACATTTTTTTTTAGTAATATTCGGTTGAAACAATTAATATATTATAATATTATATTATAAGAGATTAAAACAAAATTATATATATATATACTCGCAGAATACCTCCTTCGTATTTTAATTAAATTGTTTATTATTTATTAATTTATTATAATGTGTAAATGTAAAAGCGTAAGAATGGAAAAAAAATCGAAAAAAGAGACCAGTTTTATATTATTGACATATATTATAATTAAATACACTATAAATTGCAATAATATATGAGATTCATTAATTCGGTAGAAGTCGGCGACATAATGTTATTATGTATTTCCCACCGAATAATAATAAATTATTGTTCAACAATCTTTGACTTGAGGCGAAAAATATATTATTAATTCATTATTAATTATATCCATAGATTTCCGGGCACAGCTGTATTGCTTAACTCAACCGCATATTTCGGAATTTGATGACCAGGGATATTTTATTAATAATCATATAGACCTCGATGACCATTAATTATGGGTTATATTTTGATCAAACGATCGAATTATCGGTATTACAAAACTGAACTTTAGAACACTTCAACGTTTAGTGGCGTAACGTATATGTTTATTGATTAATTAAAGTCCATCGATCAAGTATTGTTTATTTATTTTGAGATCTTTTGTGGTATTGCACGGTCAATATTATATTAAAACAATAATAATACAATACCATCGTAAAACCATTCGTGGCTGGTTAATAGTTTCAATTTTATCAACAGATGTATTCAACGAGGCTGCGCGAGTGTAAAATTAATAATAATATTATCGAACAACATGCAGTTCTGCCGACGCAAATTTGAATATTATTTATACAATAATCACATAAAATCCTAAAGATGTACTAACATAAAAATTGCTACAATGTTTGTTTTTTATTGACACTAAATTTTACCGTTCATTATTAATGGCTATATAGAGTCCTAAACATGTGAATCCACGTTAATTTATAACCGACAGCAACGATTTTAAAATAATAGCGGGCGAACAAAATTCTCCCGCACGTCGGCAAGCAAAATAATTATAATTTATGTTTTTAATTAAAAACAAAAAAAAATATGTATATGTAAATACCGATAATACATCATTCGGCGTGTAAAGGCATAATGAAAATAATAGTAACATTATATTACGGCGTTTTAAAAAAAGACATGTGACGCACATGTGGTCGGTGCTTATATACTATAATAGCACGATAAATAATGGCAACGGCGTTTATAATTACTTCGATTCTCCACAAAAACGATAAAATACAACGTCCGATGGAAGAACGAACGAAACAAAGGAATGATACTACGATTTATCAGTTGGTGCGTTGAGAATAATTTCCATCGTGTTATTATCATCGATAAAATATTATGGGGCGGCGTGTGTATCGAGTGTACCGTGAAATGGATATTAATCGAGTCAAAAAAAAAAAAAAATACAATTAGATACAAAAAAAAAAAAAAAAGGTTTTCCAACGAAATCTCGGAATATCTACCATTCGCGTTTACGAAAATAAAAAAATTGAAATGTATCGGCCCACAGGAGAGAAGTGTATAATAGGCAACTCATCTCGTCACCGTGTACAATAAAAACTTTAACTCGTTTTCATGAATAATAATAATATTCAGTTTATTATTGTTAGTGGTAATATTTCTATTTATACACGTCGAATACTACTACTACTTTTAATACTACGCGTACCTACTGTTTACACCACGAAATCTTAACACATCTGTTATGTTACTAATTATACCGTTTAATAACGTATTAGGTTAGGTGTAATAATATAATGGTTTTTTTTTCAAACTACCTACTTGATTGTATATTATAAATGTGTCATGATTATGATGATAATAATAACAATTTTGTGCCCCCACTTCCGTACACGTGCCGCGATCATACGCCATTTGCCAACGAGGGAAGACAAATATTTATTATTATAATTATATGCGGCGCATTATTATAATAGAACGATGTTTACTAATAGGTACCTTATTATTTTGATTGATGGCTTTATCATAGTGGCTAATATTGTAAATATTACGAAATTCACTAGTAGATCAGATACTACAGAGCGTGCAACGTTTTAAAATTATTATTTTTTTTATGATCATCATTATTTATTATTATTATGCGCACATGGTTCTGAAAGCTTGTCTCGGGCGGTAGTCGGCGAAAAAGAAATGCTCGAGATTCTATTGATTTAGTCAACAAAGTGACAGAATGCATCTAAATATAAAACTTAATGACGCGATGAACATTTCAACGTTTTAAATGTCAATGCATTTTACCAGACAATAATGCGATGATAATATAACATAAGGAATTCAGGCGTGATGTATGCGACGCGTTTTTCATCCGAACGTGCTTGACACGATGCCAAAAAGTGCGTGCAATTTATTCTCCGGGACGAAAAGAATAGTTATTTTACACGAATTAAATTGAATTTAGAAAAAATGTGTACGATCGAGAGTGTCTATTCATAACTGAGCGCAACGGCAACACACAATGGCACGTGATGTGCGCGGCGGTGTTTTAAAATATAAGCCAACGCCAAAACAATAATAGCGACGCGGACGAAACGGATGTCTTGGGCTTTTTTTTTAATTGTTCTACAAATAAATGATGTGTAGCACTTACCGGATGGTCCGAATGACGGTCCGTGGCCCGGAAGTCCGGCCGCGGAAGTAGCAGATCCTGCCATGAGCCCGGCGAAAGCAGGTGGCAGATAAGTAGACATTATGTGATTGGCGGTAGTGGGCAATGCCGACTGTTTGGGCGTCAGGTCCAGGGCGCAAGGTGGCGAGTATCTACTGTTGTGGAAAGACATCGATACGGGCGATCCAGCCTGGGAACCGTGGTGCTGCGAAGACGACGATGTCGGCCTGGGAGAAAAGGACTCGTCCGAAGTGATTAGTGGAGGGCTGGCCATCATTGCTCTGCCACCTGAAATCAAAAGGTTACGATATTAAAAGGGATCCGATTTATTTGTCGATGATCGGTAGATTTTCGTGATAGTATGCTCAAACATTTGGTTTCAAAGGTTGTAATCAAACTAATTAGTATTTAGGGTTACAGTTATTCGGCTGGGCTGGCCGGGTGGGGACATTGGACGAAGTAGTAAACAATCGTAGTAGGCTTGCAAACATTTCAATGCATCAATAATGACCAATAATATACCTTCTGAATTGACAGAGATATCATATTGATAATAATCGTTAGTAAAATTATTTTTAAAAAGTGTTGTATTATCTAAACCAGTGGCCTTCGGGGCGTATAATTATCAAATTAATTAATTAATTTCCAAATAAATATGAGTTCTGTGCAGCGGCTGTGTAATTTTATTCAAACTAACGAAAGTCAGTGTACCTATATACAGTAAAAATAATAAAAATAACAGTCTGAACAATAAAATTGTTAGTGGTTACTCCTGGTAAGCTTATCATATTATCGTAGTCACAAAACGGTGTTCATAAATCATAATACATAGTTAGTAATAGTTACGCCCGTAGTGTTACGTTAGTTATGTACATTTTTTAACGAGGTCGATGGAAATAATAAATTCTAAAAAAATACAACATTACGTGCAACTGTAACTACAATTAACATTTATTAATTATTTTGTTATGAACTATTTACTTTTGTTGGAAAGGTTTTCAGGTTGGTCTTGTAACCCTTCATTCATAGTAGGACTGTTGGTCCGTTCTTCTTCACCACTGTACTTAGTGTCGACACTAAAGTCGTCAGTGTTCGCATCAATATCGTTTTGACGTTCATCGACGTCAGCTGAGTCGATGTCCACGGCCATATCGTCGATGTACTCGGAGGATGTGGGATCGTCTTTGTTGTTGCGCGTCATACTAGAATCGGAGAGAGGCGGAGGAGACGGAATAGACGATCCGCGGGAGGAGGAGCCAGCGTTAGCAGGTTTGCTCAAGTTCTCGGGTTGCTCTTGTTCGCGTTTGAACTGAAACAGTTGTAGCGATGATGAGTGATTATTCGGCAGGTGATGTTGCTGTTGCTGCTTGTGATGGTGCTGTTGGATATTGTGTTGTTGTTGCTGTTGGTGATGATGTTGTTGATGATGGTTTGTCATTAATAACTGCTCGGCAGGCTGCTGTGCCGGCATTTGAATATTCGATGGGAGTGCTATGTCTGTCGATGACGATTGATGATGTTGTTGCTGGCCGTGGTGGCTGCCACTGGGTCGGAATAGATTGGACAGAGCTGTCGGAAAAGACGAGGCGGAAGAGGCCGCGGAAAACTGATGTGACAACGGAGACCGCGGAGTGACGGCACCAGTGGAGCTGGGTGGCATTTGTGAGTTGCATCCGTTCTGATGGTGTGGACTCTGGTTCAAGTGCTGTGGCATCAGCGCCGGAAAGTCTCTGTCCAAGTGTTCAGGAACCGGCAACGGATTCATTTTGACGTTGGGAAATTTCGACGTGTGTCTCTGAAAATGGACTTTGAGGTTGCCTTTAGTGGTAAACCGACTGCCGCAAACGTTGCACTTGAACGGACGTTCGCCCGTGTGCGATCTGATGTGTATCTGAAGGGCCGAGTCGCTACCAAACACCTTGCCACAGTAACGGCACCTGTGCTTGTAAAAGTTGTCACCTCGGCTTCCGCCACTGCCACCGGCGGATTTACCGTCGTACGGCGACAGTGAGCTGCCCTTTCCACCGCTACCAGAGCACTTCCGGAACGAAAGCTCGTCCGCGAGATTGTTGGCCATCATTCCTTGACTGGCCTTGTCCAGAACTTCTTGGGCACGGCGTTGCAACGTTTCCAGAGTACAGGGTTCGCTAGGCGACGGCGGCGGGTCCAAGTTGGTGATGATGGACGATGCGAACGCGGATGAAACGGAACACGATGGGATGGAATGATGATGCGTGACGATTGGTGAAGAAGTGTACGGAGTCAGCGAAAACGATGTCGACGATGATGTAGACGGCTGAGGCTGTGACTGAAGCGTGGCCGGAGGTGGTGGCTGCGGCGCACTCTCGGCCGGCACCAACGCAACGGTCTGGACGGTGGTCGGTTGGAGCGGCAACTGCTGTTGCGGCGGTGGCGGTGGAGTTTGTACCGGTAACACGGATGCTTGCAAAGCTTGCATTGGCGACGGAGCGGGGCGTTGCAGTTCAGGCACCATTATGGCCATGATGGATGGCGGTGGAGGCGTTGGCGAGCGTGAGGTAGATGGCGACGGAGATCGGCTGAGCTGAAGCAGTGGCGTTTGCGTAGTACAGTCGCCCGTGGACTGTTGTGTGGACATGGACATCGGTACCGGTACCGGAATTGAAAGCGGCGTGACTGCCGGTAGCAACTGCTGCGGGGGCGGAGGGGGTGGCGGGGGCAGCGGTGGGGATCGTCCAGCCTGGATCTGTTGATGGTGCTGTTGAACAAACTCGTGCATTATTCTCTCACCATGCCGCGATATGGCCAATAGAGACATGGGTATGTCGTTGGGCGATGCCCCTGCCGTGGCCGGCATGACCGCGGCGTTGTCGTCATTGCCGTCGCTGAGTAGTGGTGGCGACACAGACAAGGTTCCATCGATACTTCCGGTACCACCACCACCACCGCCACTCCGACGGCTTATTTGCAACTGTCGACGGAGCTGTTGGATGAGGCTCATCTGCATCATCTGCTGATGTTGCAACGTGAACAGTGACGAATTGACGATGGCTAAGTCTTGTAGCACATTTTGGTTACTGATGGCACCGTTATGTACAGCCATTGCGGTGGCCGCGAACTGCGCAACGGCCACTTTGGTGTTTTGCAGCGCTTCGAGTGTCACGTGGTGACCGGTTGCCGCTTGTTGTTGCTGATGCTGCATGAGCATGTCAGGTCGGAAAGCGGATACCGGAAAACCGCTGGCCGCCTCAAGTGCGGCCAGACTTTCCTCTATAGCCATCCTAAGGTCGTCGGCGGGACTGATGGGGTCTGGCAGACCGCCACCGTAACGGCGGTTGTTGTTCTCGGCGTCCTGCCGCTGTCTTCTCTGCTCTTCGTGCGCCTTATTGTTGTTGTTGTTATTATTATTGTTGTTGAAGTTAGTATTGCGAAAGCCCCTCCTTAAATCGGCTGCAATTTGCTGAAAAACGACCCCGAAACGGTTTCCGGGACGGCGATAGTCGTCTATATCGACCAATTCGTCTACAACGTCCTCTTCATCGTCTGGTTCTTCATCATCTTCTACATCGTCTGTGTCGTCGTGATCGTTCCGATGATCGAAATCGTCGGAAGTGTCTGCGTTGTTGGCGGCGCCGGTCCGGAGCACACACGTCTTGTTGTGTTCCGACAGCTCGGAAAAACTCAGAAATCCCATGGCACACTGCCTGCAAGTATTTGACAACTTTCTAGGCAACTTTTCACCGTGCATCGGCCCATTCTCTTCATCATCTTCATCGTCTGAAGTCATCGATGTCCCACCTGCGAAACAAAATGAAACACCAACAATTAATATTGCAATCGTTGTGGCCGCGGGATATGCGATCCAACTCGTTTTTATTAATAGGGCGTTTTCTAATTTTATTGCGCATGATGGGACTTTGATGTCACTCAAAACTAAAGTAAACGGACGTGACTGTGCAGACCACATATATAATTAGTATAGGCAACCTCGATCTGCATCTGAACGTGCGTTATAATGGTCGGACATATAAATATATAGAAACGGTTTGGGTTGTTTTTCGTTTTATTGGGGGGAGGGGGCGACCGTACCAATGGTATAAGCTCGCAGATTTAGGGGAGTCTTTTGTTGACAATCGCGACGTGTGTGACGAACAAAATATACATTTATAAAAATGAGAAACTGCAAACGAACCACGCACGACAATACAAGATAGTAGGTATACCGTAGAGCCTGTCGCGTGTAGCTAAAGGAGAAAAGAGGAGAAGATAAAAACGTGTGGTTAATTAAAAAAAATAAAAACTTTTGTATGATTTAAACACTGCTCGACTCTCGCGTTTAATTTCCGTAAAAGTCTAGACGTCATTAATACCAATCTCGCACGCGCATTAATTGTATAATGTCACAATGATTAAATTTGTACACGACTTATATTATGTATATACGTATATAATAAATATATATATTTAATGCACGCACATATACACATAAGCGAGCGAGCGCATTGTACTATATTACAGTAACCTTCGTTAGTTTTTTTTTTTGCCTCTTCTTCTTCTTCGTTCCCTTTTTTCGTTCTCACTGTGGAGAGAGCGGACTACTGTATAATATATATGGACGAGATAAATAACGCTTAAAATATCCCGTCGTGTACAATACAATTATCGTTGCTAATTTAGGCAACATGTATACACGAAAACTGCTCCGGGCGCGAGCGTCGTTTCCACGGTAGATAAAACTTTGAAAACACAGAAACCCTACGACGGATTACTTTTAATGGGATTACCCCGTCTGCCTGCCCGTCCGCCGCCGTTATGATGTCAAACAACGTAATTATCCGTGTCGTTCCCTCCAAAGTCACTCGTCTTATCGGCCGTAAGTCGAACAACGTTGTATTCAGACGGTAAACAATAACAATAATTATTTTACGGGCTCGTTTAACATTATTGTATTGTTATACGATTATAATACACGCAGATCCGTTAACGGGCCGGCAAAAAGTAGAATAATTATTATTATAATATGTGTTGGAATCATTTAAGTCTTAAAACAGAGTGCCAAATTTTAGGAGAGCAAAACCTAATCGCCATAGAACCAAAAAAGTAATGGTTGGTATAGAGGCAGGGCAGCAGATGCTTCATTCTGGTTTCTACATTGGATACGAAATAAATATACTAAAAGCTTATACAGGTAAATACCATTATTATAATCCTTAACTTTGCTCATAAACTTCTTCATATTTTGAATTATATATAAACTGTTAAGTTACTTTTTTTGTATTAATATGGACCATGCACACAAAAAAAATGTAATTTTAAAATGATCTATCGATACTTTTATAAAGTACTAATACCGGAGTCTTGCCAGTCTTGGCTGTACTGGTGCTACAGTTAAGGCAAACCAACATGTTACGAGTGAAAATGTAAAATACGGCTGCTAATTTACCTTGCGATACCCCAAATAATGTGATGATATGTCAATATATTCTAAATTATAATTTTGCATTTTTATTGCATAATAGGCACTTCTATATGGGTCGATTTAAGATTTACACTACGTGAGTGATGACTTATTAAAAAAAAACCTTATTTCATATTATATAATGTTATTATTCCACGTTAAAATTAATCCGAAATCACGAAAAAAATGCCGTCAGGTTTTTTTTTCTTCCGACATTCTACCATTGAAATCGAATATATTGCAAGCAGCCCGCCGTCGGTTTTTTGACGTGAAACGTTTTTATAGTTAATTAATATTCCTTAATTTTTTATCGCATAGGTCTGGCCGGGTGCACACTAGCCGCCCGGCCGACGCCGTTCACCCGTCGTCAGTCGTCAAACAAAACAATAATAATATTAAACTCATCAGTGAAAATATAATATAATTAAAATCGCAACCTAAATGAAGCCAGTTTGTTTTGTTTTTGTTTCTTCCACTCGATTAAAACGCACAATTTGCAATTGTTACGAACGACTGTCGTAGTTATTATCGTTACGGCGAGCGTATCATCATAATATTATTATTGACTACTATAATTGTACCTGTGTGGCTATATACGCGATGGTCACCGCCGCTGTCCACACCGATCATTCCTCGTTAATTTTATTGTAGGTACTGTACATAAGTGCTAATCGTAAATCCGAGTTGAGAAATAATAATGGGAAAAAAAACGGCACTATCGGCGAGAGAGAGATAGATAGCTATTAAAACGGTCGTTTGGTATAATAGTAGTTGGTGTCCGTATAATATAATAATAGTGGTGGTGCAGCAGCAGCGGCGGCCAAGCCTCCTCAGTCGCAGTTACCGGAGTTCATATTTCGCATAAAATATGTTAGGCAGTTCTTTAAAACAGAAATAGTAAAAAAAAAAAAAAAATAAAAAATAGTATAAAATAAAAACTAATTTATTAATACCGCAGGAATGTCAATCGACGTTGGTCGACGTCAAATAATGAGACGTTTCCTGTAACGACGACGAGTTCCAGGAGTAGGTACGCGCCAATGTCCTATACCTATAGTGCAGTAGTAATTTGACGTATACATTTTTCGAAGAAGCATATTTGCCATCGTTGTCAACCGAGTCGCGGCAGTAACATGACATGACAATGAAAAAACTGGTTCGCGTCATACCACCAAAGACTAAAATCTATTAATTTTGTTTTTTAATCGCATTTTTCGAATGATCGTTTGAGTTTTTTATTCCGAGAAAAATTTTCATCGATATACATCATATATATACACACGCACGACAAGAACCCTCGAAAAAAATTTTAAAAAACCGTACTGCATATTATACACGTACAGCATACCTATACTACCGACGATAATCTTCGTGATCTATATGCTCCATAATGGTTATACATTTATTATATATATATAATGTACATAGGTACGTTCCCATCATTACTCGTGTCACTAGTAGTGTATACGTCTATAATAATCTATATATATAGATAAATAGAATTCCAGAACTTTACGACGATATATCAGTACCTATAATATCTTAGTACGGGTATAGAGTTACGACATTTAATTTTTAAAAAGAAACTCTCAGAGACATGGTATCCGAGTATTTTGATTTCGAAGTTGAATTCGGTCGACATATTCGTCAATTGTCTTGTATAATAGACACTGCAGCCTGCAGCAATACATTGCACTCTGTAAGAGTGTTAAAATATTTAGGTAAAATTAATTCAAGAAACGTATTGGTACTCAAGAGTAACAACGAAACTAATTGCAGTTATGAATATTCAAGAAAATAATTACTAAATTAATTGGGTACCAAATGTTTTTTTTTCTTAATTATATATAATTACAATTTTTTTTTAATGCTGTAAATTTTTAATGGTTTCAATATATTGGCGTAAGGTTTTAATGTCCAGGAAACGTTGAAGATCTCTGCCCCTCCCGATCGCGGACGAAAAATGTGTGATATTAAGGGGGCGTCGAGTATAAAATATGACGAGCGCACAAAATTAAAAATTGCTAACCCGAGTGTGTCGTAGGTAGACATATTATTGGTATGTATATTTTAAACGAGAATCGTGAGGTCCATAATATTATGTGCTGCAGTTGTACGATAAACGCGTGTAATATTATAACGAACAATAATAATGTATGCATAAGGTAAGTGCGTTGTGTGTGTATACATCATGATAATATAATATTATGGAGCACAATATTATACAGCGTACCTCCACGCGATGTAGGACTTTCCACAATGGTTTTCTGTTAATTGGATTCTGCGACGATCTACGCCTTTAATATTACAATGTAACACAGGTGTGTGAGCGTGTAATACCAGGTATCTCCCCCCTTACCATGCGAAACCGAATGCTGCGGACAAATACTCGTATTAATTACCGTCGTCGTTGTCGTTCGGTTACGGTCACAGTTTTGTGTTTTTCTTTTTTTTTTTTGTATTTATTATAAAAATAATAATAATAAGCAGAAGAATATGACTAAAAAAAAGAACAAAACAATACCTCCACAGCGGGTTAGGAAATAGTATATATCGCGCGTTTTGGTGTGTGTCTGTGAAAATAAGGAGTGATGTACATAATATTATAATATTATCTACAGAGGTGTTGTACGGCGGCGGCGGCGGTGCGCTCGCGGACCGGAAGTATTCGAATTAAAGCATAAAGCGTCCGCGTCTCGGATGAATAGATATGCCGCCGCAGCCGCCCCCGCCCCCGCGGAAGGATCTAGTTTGTCAGTCACTGTCTGTCGTCGACGTCGCACGCACAAAAACGACGACCGGCGACGGATGATGGCCAGCCATGCGTCAATAAATATGACTAACACCGACGAAGCTATCGGTCGGTTAGGCATATTATTTTATGATCATATATATATATATTACAGCCGGTGTTCAGGTCGCGAGCAATGTGTATAATAATAACAACAGGTATATAATAATATAATAACCGATACGCAAGAGTTTAACCTCACGAATTATTCCTACACGCCGCCGGGGTGGGAGCGCTAACCCCGTTTTATATTTTTTACCATTATTATTATTATTATTCCATTTCTTATATATTATATCCCCCGACGACGACGCCACGCACGAATATACGTATATATTATTTCGTTTTGGTTTTTTCGTCTATGGTTGCCCGGCCCCGCATATTTTACACTCGACGACTTGATTTGTTATGCACGGTTTTTCGAACGAATTGAAAACCTTTCGGCGGCGGGACACTACGACTCGAACGCGTGATGGATGGATGAATGCAATAATAACACCCGTCGTCGCCTGGCGGGGAAGTTATAAATCGACGACGACGACGACACACACACACACTACAAACAAACCCTTGGCGCGGGAAGTAAGTACCTATCGACTGTCGATTTTTTTGATTTTTTTACTACTTCACTTAAACGCCGCAGCGGTTATTAAACGACCCACGGACCATTGCGAGGGGGGGGGGAGTGGAAACCGGACTGCGCGTGTATATAGTATTA